AAGCATTATAGGTACTATTAGCTGGCATTTTGTTGGTGAACATAAATACCAAAATATTCTATTAACAATATGCATGCAGTAATATGCTCATATTATAAAAAGTTATACCCCTACCTCTCACATCAATTGTCAGTTGATTTGAACAAAATGTCCCGTGCCGTGCTGAGCCATCTTATGCTGTTTTGGTTTAGCTAAGAAGGGAGGGACAACCGCTCCATGATGGTAGCCATATTTCTTGCGCCTGAGCAGCCAATGAGTACTCTTTAGAGTAGACCCCTCATTGGTCTCATTGGTATGTAGGCCCAGGATGTTCAGATGTTGGTGGTAGAATTGTTTACTGCAGCATGGAGATTGTAAGGAGCTGCAAGAATATAAACTTGTTGTAAGAGCAGCTGAATGCGATGCCTTTCTCTTTTTGTGTGCGTTTAGGGTCAGCTACTGTCTAGGCCTGAGTATGCTGCGGTGTAGGTGCTGCCTCAGATTGATGCTGAACTGAATATTAGAGTATGGAATAGAGATTGTGTCCCATAATCTCCCAGAGCGTGGGTGATTACAACAAGGAGCTTGTCTCATAACTGGAGGAGAAGTTTCCAAGGCAGTTAGATTACTTAGAGCACAGATCTCAAACTCCAGTCCTGGAGGGCCACTGCCCTGCAGCTTTTAGATGTGCCTCTGCTGCACCACACCTGAATGGAATAATTAGGTCATTTGCAGGACTCTGGAGAACTTAGGAGAAGGTAAGCCTTTAAGCCATTTGATTCCAGTGTTTTTTGTACCTGTGGCACATCTAAAATCTGCAGAACAGCAACCCTTGAGGACTGGAGTTTGACACCCCTGGCTTAGAGGATCACAGTCTGAATCAGAGAGATTGAACTTAAGAGTGAGGTTACTGTTCATGGTGAGTCAAAATGTTTAGAAGCATGGAGGTACTCTTATGATTGCAGAAACATAAAGGCCTGTGGTATGGCCTTTATGTTTCTGCTCATATTTATGAGCTGAGCGTAAATATGCTGTTTGGGAAATTAGAGGTGTGGTTTTGGCTGCAGGCCTGCTCCCGAAATATATTAACCTTTTAACTTTGTTTGCATTCTCCCAAACATGATTACTTCATCCTCTGTGAGACGGCAATGAATGTAGCTTAGTAAAAAACAGACCCTTGTTCTACACATTGCTTTGTCCAGAGGGTCAGCTGTTGAGACATTATTGCTTCTTGGAGGCATGGACTGTGAGGTTTTAAATTTACCTGATTACTAGTGATTTCAAGTGATGTATGTAATGTGAGAGTTTGTCATTAAGAAGCTTATTGTAAACAACCATCCTCTTCTACGAAGAGAGAAGAGCTGTTCTGAATGATGTGGTTGTTCATTTAAATCACTTCTTAAAACTTATTTTTATTCTTTAGCTTTTCCATTGTAATTTACTTGTACTGTCTATTTTAATTTTTGTGTTATTCTGATGCGTTTTATTTGTGTTTTATGAATTCTGTACAGCACTTCGATGCAGTGAATATCTGTTTTTAAAGTGCTTTATAAATACAATTGACACTGACATAGACATTGACATTAATGTTAATTCAAAATATGGAAGAGTTACAGACAAGGACTTAGCGGCAATGACAGTGTCCTCCATTGCCATTACTAAAACTACAGTTTTAAAACACCACATAAATTCAGCATCATCGTTTACAACTTCTCCTTTTCCTTCTGGCCCAGTTAGAAATTGAAATTTGTATTGAAAATTGACAGGAGATGATCCAAGTCAAAGCAAGAAAGCCCAGACTGTGCTGGAAGCAAGAACCTTTTGAGTGGAATTGCACAGGAAAGCAAAGTGAATGTAACTGTGAATGTTCTGTGTTTGGATTGTTTTGACTCAGTTGAACATTTTTAGTCATCAAAATGTCATCAGTTAACAGCAGCTTGCTCGTTAAAGGTAATGAATGATTTATCACCTTATTTCTATCATGTCTAAACTTTTTTGATATTATAATTTTAATTTTGTTTTTATATGATGGTTACTGTAGGTTCCTAAATAATGAAGCCATAAGCTTGACGCTCTCTGTCCTTCCCCTTCGGTCCACTTGATGACGAAAAAAAAAAAAAAACAGACTGGGTCCTCTTGATAAAGGTTAACAGTTTACTTCAAAAATAAAAACGGTACAAATATTACTTTTCCACAAAAATAATAGAGTAAACAAAAGAGTCCTAAGCAAGAGAGAGAGAGAGAGAGGTCAAAAAACTGTGTGGCTCCACTCCAACTGCCCAACTGATTCTGCCTGGCCACACCCTAAAATCCTTAACTCCAATTATGCAAATTTACAAGAAGACCTTAGTATAGTCCAATATAGCAAATTAGTATGCAATAGAGATATAACTAGTGATAATTTTTATCCAAATAAACAAATTACCATAAGAAATATAAACATAATTTATCCTAAAGGTCTGAATGAACTAAAATTGAATTTAAGCTTCTACAGTTACTGTTATTTTCTCTATTTTCTTAATCTATTTTTATGTCATTTTATTTTCCAATATTTTCCCATATGGTTCTTACCTACCCTTTGTATGTCTTTGTTCATAAAAAAAGATTACAAATGTGTCTGTATTAAAACAATTCAGGAAACACATTATGTTGAAATCCAGCAATCACAGTTGTTGTCGTGGCTGGAACAACCAGATGTTAGGTTTAGTATGGAATCACTAGTCAACAATCTTTTTTGTTTGGATATAGTTGTTTTCCCTTGTATAATGGAAAACATCTTTGAATTTTTAATTGAATTAGGTTGTTTGATCTTAACATTTTTATGATAATCTGAAACATTTCAGTGGGGCAAAAATTTAAAATCAGAAGAAATTTGTAGGGGAAAAATACTTCTTGTGTATTTTAGCCAATAGTTTCATAAATCATATGATGCAAAGAGTTCATGCACCCGAATCCATATCGGCTTTAAAAATAATGCCCAGTGACTTTAATTATTTTTGAAAATAAATGTTATGGAAGAATTTTCTTGCCACAATCTAGAAGCACACATTTTCAGTCTGAAAGCAGGATTTCGTGTCTTTCTTCTCAAAACTTGTAATGCTTGTTCTGAAAGCTTCTCCTCACACTCAGACTTATGCCCCTTTTCCACTGGCTCTACTTCAGCAAAGTTTCCTCTTCCAGAGCAAACTTTGGAAGAGTTTGCTCTTGTCACTGACAACTGACGCTACTTCTGTTGCAAAACAGTGACGTTACACACAACTCAGATTCTGTAAAACTTCTGCGGCTGAACAAAAATAACTAGGCAAATAAAATATATTAAATAAATGAATAAAAGAGTGTTTTATCCTTAACTTTAAAAAAAATAGTAATTTAAGTAAAATGCTTCTAGGATGTAACGCAGCTCACAGTTTTTAACAAATTCTGTAGTACTTCTAAATCTGCTCCATAGTTGCATCTTTTTGGGTCTACTACCTCTAGTGGCGTGGGAGTAGTAACACAACTAGTATAATACACATCACTAAATGAGAGTAACACAAAGTTTTTATTTACTATAAATTCCAGCATTACTGGCACCATTAAAAATAAATTCTATAATGAAAGAGCTAATTAAATTACATAAACATTATAAACAATACATCATAAATAATATCTAGACCTGTCCAGGGTGACCCTGCCTCTCGCCCTGAACGTTAGCTGGAGATGGGCACCAACAACCCTCCTGGCCCCACTAAGGGACAAGGGTGTACAGAAAATGGATGGATGGATAAATAATATTATGCCCCCTCAATTGTAGGAGAAATAAAAGAAATGAGACATGAAAAGTAACATGATCAACATAGTAAAAAACATTTACCATGAAGAAACTAATTGACCAAAAGTCAATAATATTGGGATCATAAACAAGCTTTAAGCACACCTGAGCGATCAAAACCTCCTTGAGCTGAGCGATCAGACTGCAGTTATGACACACAAACTGTGCATTTTTTTTAGAAGGTGAGCTTTTTGGTTGATTTAACTCTTTAAAGCATTCCCTAGCTAGTTAGAGACTAAATGCAGGTATTTGACCTCAGGAAATATTTTTCTATCATTTGACAGAACCTTAAATATGCACTTTAGTCTCTCAAAGGTTGCCATGGCTATCTATCTTGCTGTTTTAACATTAGCTAGCATGTTATCAGAGTACTACAACTGTTTATCACAGTGTTATTCTGCTAAATTAACATTGGTGAATGACATGCATTTAATGGCCCATAAGTATTAAATGCTGGTGAGTCGATGATGACAAAAAATGGCCCAAATGTCAAATATTAGTTACTAGCAAGCAATTTTTTTCTCAGTGAAATATGTTATGTCCTCCTAAATAAGACAAACTTATACACAGAATGTGGTTTTTCTAAAATGTAAGTTTTTAAAATTCATATTTAGCATGCAAAGGACAAATTACATTTCTTTTTTTGGTCACAATTTGAGAGACAATTAAAATGTAGCTGCATCAATCAAGGCGGGTGATAAACTAAGTCTTCAGAAGTTAATGCAGCAGGTTGAACCATAAGCAATGTGAGGTACAGAAAGCGCTGTGCAAAAACAAAACCTCAGACATGTGTTGCACTACAACACATGCCACAAAGCTGCATGTGAAGAGAGGTGATTTGCGCTGGAGGCGAGTTGTAAATTATTTCGTTAGCCTAATTGTAAATAGTTGCCTGCCTTCTGAAGGTGACGCACAGTAGAGTGGCTGCTGACACAATGTGACATTGACTGACAAATCAGTTGGAAGAACAAAAGAATAGTTTTGTCAGATATGTTAGTCTTCATCCATGGTAGGAAAACAAATTTTCGTCATATTTGAAGTTTGAGTTGTGCTTTTCTAAAGTAGTTATCTATACATCACACATGGTACTGAAACAGTTAAACAAGCTGATGTAATTGGTTTTGAAATTCCTTGCCAATGTTTCTAAATCTCAGTATTTAGATATATGACTTATTTACCCTGTAATCCTCTTTGTCTCTTTTTCTCCTAGATCTGAAGTCATTTGCTTCACAGCCAACGTATTATGTGTGTCTACTCTACGTCAGTCAAAGTCTGGTGCTGATTGGCTGGGAGAGGTGACACCATCAGCACATTTTCCCTCTTATTACCTCCCATGCAAGCTTCCATGACTTGACTGTGGCCCAAGGGATCTGTTTTACACCTCACAACAACTGGAAACAGAGCAGAACTGTATTTGCTCTTTCAAGAGGAAAATAAATCCATCCTTCAGTGGCATCTTATCTTGTCAACAGTTCAACCTGTGATAGGTTTACTTTAAATCTACTGCTACAGGAAGCTGAAGCTACCTGTCTAAAAATTCCTTTAAAATTGATTATGTATGAACATCATACACAGTGTGCATTTATGTAATGAAGTGATGATTTATGCTATGAAATGTAGTCTGCATCAGCAGTCTGGTGTGTAGCATTGTCCATCACATTGAACAGTCTTCTGCACTACAACTAAATTCAGAAAGAAGGCTGATACAGAAACAGCAGAACATGTCACAATAGTAGCTGTCAAGTGAAGAGGATGATGTAAAATTAATAAAAGTTTAAGTTTTTATCTTTGTAAACATTTGTTTAAATATTATTCAATACTTTAGTCAGGCACTGTATAATGAACATGGCTTCTGTTAGCCTTTAATGTGGACACTTGAAAACAGACATCTGACCAGAAGACCCAACTGCATTAATTTGTAGTGTCACACTATTAATTGGTTCAAATATTTTGAACAGGACAATGAGTTTTTATGTGGATATACAGAATCAAACAAATAATTACTTATAATCAATTCACAACAAAAAAAACATTTCCCATAACTTGAGTGGAGTCTCAGTGTGCCCTGTCTGACATCACTTTCCAACTTAAGCAAACCTGGAAACCATTTCCTGCTCAAACTGATGGTTAAGAAAACAAAGCAGCAATTGGAAGTTCACCGACCATGTTTTGCCTGTCCCTTATCTGCTTCCCCTCACCTTTTTGTGCTCTAATTCAAAAGATCAGCAGTACTGTATTGGACACGCAAAAATAAGTCTCTTTACTCTTTTGACCTAAAGAGGCTTAGAGAAAAAAAATAAGTATTTTTAGAGTATATTTTAATGTTGGTCCATCTGTTAGACATGAACACCTTCTGCCATAACATGAAGTGCCTTAAAATGAGAGAAGATTGCCCAAAGACAGCCAGTGACAGACATTTTTCTGCATGATGAAAGGAAATTTAACCAATTAGATTAGACAAGATTTCGTATTAGTATGGAAATACAATTTCTCAGCTTGTTTCTTTTTCTTTCTATTGGGATATTAGCATAAGTGTGACCATAAGCCATATGGATGGCTGCGAGAAAAATGGCCAGGAAACAGACTCTTTAAACTTACACCAACTTTCTCAAATAACCTTTAATATGGAAAATGCAAAACATATTAACTATTTGAGGAACTTTGAATCCCTTAAAAAGAAAGGATTTCATATTTTTAATCAATTGCATCCAAGCTTTGGACTTGGTGTATACTAGGGGTTGAATGACTTATTTTCTAAAGTCTACTACAACATGATAAAAGTCGAGTCAACGTCAACTAGTCGCGGTGAAGTCATAGTGACGTAAGCACTAAACCCTTCAGAACAACTTAGAGGCTTTATCAGCTATATTCACCACAAATATTGATTAAAACAATCTGGCCTTTTATAAGTCTATTATGCAGAATTAAAAGAACATGAAACAGATCCAAACACCAGCTGATACTGATTACACTGACCACAGTGATGCTTTTAGAACATCACAAACCAAACTTATTATGAACGGATTCCGTTTGGTTACAGTTGAATAATAGCTGCCACCTGCTGCTCCTCCACCCTGATGTGCAACAGGACGCTCCGCTGACCCAGCAGCAGCTGTCTTTGTGGGATGAACCTACATGCAGACTGCGGCAGAGATGGCCTCTATCAGATCCTCAGAATGAAGTTTGAACTTCGTTTCCAGATGTTGTTGATTAGTATTTTTATAAGAGCATAAAGCTGCCAGGTTAAAAGCTTCAATACACAGGGTGATGGTGATATCAGCTGGATGGCTAAAAAAGCCCGACATCATGACTTATGATGCCACATTACTCCGGTAGTCTTTTCTTCTTCTTCTTAAATAATTTTTTCGGCACTAGTGTATTTGACAGCAATCCGTCAGGAGGGGGGCAGGGAGAGAGGAGCGGGGCAGAGAGGCATGGACCCAGCAAAACGAGGACGGGAGTCAGGCTCCCGACTCCCCGGTCTATAGTCTCTATATGAGCGGCGCCGGGCTAACCACTGCACCACGCAACGTTCCTGTTCCAGTAGCTTTTGCTGAAATTTTCAGCTTCTCTTTCGTAAATTATTTACATTTTTATACAATTTAAATTATCTGACAAACTCACCTAATTCACCTTCTTGGAAAAATCAGTTTTGTTACGTGATTGCGACTAGTCGACTAGCCCGTTAAAAAGTCATTGCAGAGTAAAGAATCGACTAGTCCACTAGTTGGTGCAACCCCTGTGTATACAAATGAGAGCTTCAAAAAGCATTACAAAACAACATGACACTTTAATTTCTTTACAGTTATTGTTTCAAAGTGTTTGAATGGCTGAAAGGTAAGCAACTTTAATGTACTTTATACTGATTAACAACATAAGCACAAAGACAACATAGTCAATTGAAAATGTTCTTCCTTTAAATTCTAGGATTTTATAAGATGTCTCACTTTGATTATTTATGAAACAATAAAGAGAAAGACAGACAGAAAAGTAAAAAAAATTAAAAAATCCATCCACAGAAGCAGGAAGGTACTTCTAAGTAAAGAACTTGACTGAGTCATAAAAGTAGGAGTTTTGGTATTTTGATAGTTTGCTGCACAATGCCAAGCTGGACAGACACCAGCAGTTAACTTAGAAATGTTTTCTACCCAATACTACGTGAAGAGTTACAAAAATATTTTCAAAGTCAGTGATTCTTCTTCACAAAGGTATCTTAAAAAAAGGTTAAAAAACAAACAAACAAACTAAGCATGTTTAACAAATATCACTTTA